TCTACGACCACGAGAAGCGTGCAAACCCGCAGGCATGCCGCTAACGCGTGGCCACTCGCCAAGCCTGCTCTGGAGCGCATCTTGCCTCGCTGCGCCCAAAAAACGGATGCGTCTCGTCGCCGGTCGGCTCTCATAACTATGCATCACCCCCGAATCAGCCCATGGATCAACCAATCACATGTCCAGTACTCAGCTAATTGCTTGTTCAAACTGGTTCAGACGCGCGTAATCGACGCACCTCGGCTCACGCGCTGCTGAGCGGACGCCTTCTTCTGGCCCACAACCCACAGTAGCCTTCCCTGTGTACAAAGTGCAAATCAGCTTTCACAGGTCTCAAACTTTTGCCATTAGACGGGACGAACTTGCTGCGTGGTCGAGGCTGCTTTCATTGCCTTGACACCTTCGCACCATCAGGTCATTACGTTTGACAAATCTGTCGAGATGCAATGAGTCAACAACTTAACCATTCGCAACTCAGAAAGCAGAGAGAACAGTGTTATTGGAGAAGCCTTTACTAGGGGGCGAAGTGCGCACAGTCAGAAAAGCAGGCGGCTGCAGCCAACGTTCTCACCAAGCAGCGGTTGGCAAACCACTCCCAGAACTCTTTCCGCGACAGCATGTGAATCTGTGACCAATCCTCGTTGAGAAGCTTGCTGACAGCGCAGTGGTCGGTGCTCTTGACGAGGCAACGTATCTGTACGAGTCTGTCGGCATCCGCAGAGCGTGATTTATCCGACTGGTTTCCACCAAGGCTTCCGGAGAAGTACCCTCGTCTAAAATTCTAGGCTTCCTGACATCGAGCGGTGTTTACAGCATGCGTATTTTTCTACGTTCATCTCCAAAACTGTTTTGTGTGCTTAGGGTCTTGCTTCGAATAATGGCAGAGGGGCGCCCACCGATCGTGTTAGGGGACACATTCGTCCTGTTGTACCTTGGGACTCAGTCTCGAACCCCGCCAACAGTAGCACAAGGACGCGAGATATAGGCAGAATATTTCCCCGGAATGAATTTAAAGCAGGCATGGACAGCAGAATTTATTGGTACCAGTAAATTTCGCGACGGCTTATCAACTGCAGCCTGTCGTTGCAAAACACAAATAACAAGTGAGAAAGGTACAGAGGTTTGAACTTCGACATAGAAAATCAATGGGAAACAGCAAGGTCATCGTATACTACACGTAGACTTATCAATAAAATGGTAACTTCAAAACGCAACATAGGAAAGAAAATGGGGAAGTAAACACGCCGAGGGATTTCGAAAACCAAAAGGGGCTCATATGTACCAGGGCAAGCCGAGGTTGACCTCGTGGTCTAACTGTTTACATAGGTCGGGTTTCTCCCGCCGTATGTAGGCTGCCTCCAGGTAGCGCAATAACCGAGTTGTTCGTGCTCGAACTAATACTCGAAAAGACGTTTTGGGGTCAACCGAATGACCGCTATCAAGGAGGTGCTTTGTGACAGAAGACCGTTGAATTTTATTCTCCTGTTGCAGAAGCCACTTAGGCAGGTGTTCAACTGCCCTGGCTGCCAGTTGCCCATGCGTTCGCCCAATGTACTTGCATCCACAAGTGCATGTAAATTCGTAAACACAATTTGACGTGTAGTATACGATGACCTTGCTGTTTCCCATTGATTTTCTATGTCGAAGTTCAAACCTCTGTACCTTTCTCACTTGTTATTTGTGTTTTGCAACGACAGGCTGCAGTTGATAAGCCGTCGCGAAATTTACTGATACCAATAAATTCTGCTGTTCGTGCTTGCTTTAAATAGGCAGAATAACATTACCGGAGCTGACAAGGTAGAACGGAATGGCCGTTTCTGGCTTATTAGCCCTCATCAGCCAATCATACCCAACCCCGAGGTTTATAGGGGACATCGAAAACCAATGGAAAAAAGAGGCCACTTCAGTAGTCACTTTCTGTTGTGTGCAGTTTTTGTAGACTGTTGAAAAGAAGCCTACTCAAAAGCCCGCTGAAATTTATAGGGATTAAGCTGCATGAAAAGCAATCTTTCAACCCTACCTAATCAATCCTTTCTAATCGAAAACATATTTCATCATTTTCATGTGATAAATAAGCCCAGGCCCGTTGTCCAGTTGGTTGAGAGCGTGTATATTAATAATGGCAGAAGGGCGCTCACCGATCGTTTTACGGGACACATTCGTCCCGTTGTGTCTTGGGGTTCAATTTCGGGCTCTGCCAACAGTCGGCCAGTGGCTAATATTGCAGGCAGAATAGCATTACCGGCAAAGGCAAGAAAGACTGGGACGCTGGTTCGTGCCCTAGGAGGTGGAAACCTGGGACTGGGTATGGCTGGCTGGTGAGTGCTAGGAAGCCCAAAACAGCCGTCCCAGTTTCCCTTGTCTTTGTCGGTGTTGTCATGGTGTTGTTGGCGTAGGAAGAGTTGGGGCTGGTACGCAAATTCTAAAGCGTTGAGCCACCATCGATTAGCCCGCCCAAGTGGAAACTGATGATGCCCTGATCCGCACGATTACCCTTCCAGAAACTAAATCGTGCTACAGCTCTCCACTGGGAAAGCACCGGAACCCGACATAATCCCGACTGAAGTCTACAGGAATGGCGACCCCCGGCTGACGGACAGATGTACTTTAGGGTAAGGGAGGATACCATACTAACAGCACAGGTACTAGCCAAATACCCACACATGCGTGTTTTGCCGATATTCTGCCGCTGCATGACAGAGCTGCGAGGGATTTGACTCGTCAGTGGGTCCGCCAGCATCTCCTGTCTGCTTTCTGGTAGATACTCCAATTTATAAATAGCAGCTTTTTAATTTCCTTAGAAGTTAAGTGCGAACTTGGAGTAGATCAACATATTTAAGGTCTATAGGCTCAGACCAAATTTTTATGTCTGAATTATTGAGCCGAAATCCATTAGCCACAGCGGCAGCTAGCCGAACCTGTATTAGTACCTTACCCCAAAGTATACTACTGGCTGCCTGTCGGCAGCTGTCGCGGTTGTCCTCTGTGGCTGATGGACTTCAGCCCAAATATTCATACTTAAAAACTTATGTCTGAGACTATAGACCTTAGACATACTTATATACTCCAAGTTCGCAGTTAACTCCTAAGAAAGTTAAAAGGCTACATTAATATGAGTGCCTGTTGTTAAATGGGCTACAACAAAGCTAATTTTTAAAGTTTGTATTTGTAATGACTGTCCTTAGAAAGTTTACTTTCTTCTAAAAGACGAAAATGCCGTTGAGAACTCCGGAGTTTTCTAAGCAATCTAAACAAAATCCGTTTGTATTTAGCATCATAGTTCTAACAGACCGCGCAGATTATGCCTACCTATTTTCAAGATGTATACAAATTCAAATATTAGGGAAAGAACGTGGTGCTATCTTAAGAGCTATGAACTGGAGACTACTGTATAACTGGCACTCGAATAAATGCGAAACATGTCTGTGCTATGCAAATAATCATACCTGGCATGCGAGACGGCTGAACTCTGCGAGGAATGTTCTTGCAAGCGTAAGACTAAGAGAACGACCCAAGACAAGGTAGCCAACGGCTAACAACTGAATACTGAGCCGACAGAACTATTGAGCGACACATGCCTGAGTGATGGTCATGCACCTATCGCGGCGACATTGGTACAGCTGCTCAAAGGCCAATGTCAGCATGTGTCGCCAGAATATTCACCGTGTGCTCCACAGTGAGGGGAGAGCAGGGACGGTGACTTGTGCGTGGATTTGCCTGTAGTGGAAGCGAACTTGCACAGCAACTACGCCATTTCCTCCTCCCTCCCACCTGGGCCTGGTGTCAAGACAGAGTCAAGAAGGCCGGAGGCGGGGAGAGCGCAGGTGGATCGCCACACGTGTTTCGCCGATATTCTGCCGCTGCATGACAGAGCTGCGAGGGGTTCGACTCGTCAGTGGGTCCCCCAGCATTCCCTGTCTGCTCTCTAGCAGATACTCCAATTTAAAAAGTGTTGCAGTTAATTCCTAAAAAAATTAATAAAGCAACGTTAGCCAGTTTGTTAGATAGGCCCTGTATCCGTAGGGGTTGCGCTGTCGCCGGTGTTCGTCGAGACCCCACCTAACTTCTGAAAATGCCGCGGAACCACAGACATGGTTATTGGACCCCGCGAACTGCAGAAATAGTGCGAGGAAATTAGAGCCAACCTCTGCACTAGCCTCGTCGACCTGACAGAAGCTTTCGACACAGTCAACCGCGAATGACTGTGAAAATCACACTGAAATCCGAATGTCCCGAGGGTAAGGCGTAAGTCAACTTCATGACGGGATGCTCGCCCGATTCACGGACAACGACAAAATCTCTAAGGCTCACGAATGAAGGCGAAATTTCGAGTTCCAGGTGTACGCATATTTGAAGAAGAAGAAGCTCACGATAATAAACGAAGTGTTTTGGTGCTCGACTCTTCTTCTTCTTCAAATATCTCTAAAGCTGCCGCGACAGCCCCTCTGCCACTTTGACAGAGCCAAACCACCCATCCTAGCTGTGTGAAATCCTGGTGTGTTGTGTAGAAGGAGAGGTCATGTGTGTGGCGCGCGTAGTCGGGCTCCCTACCACTGTCAGTCGCTTCACCAAATCCCCGCATCATAAAACTGACCGACTCGAACAGTGGACTGGCGTCCGCCAGAGGGAAGGTAAGGTGTGGAGCACACGGTGGACATCGTCGATGAACGACGGTCGAACTGCCCTGTGCCTTTACCTGCGCCAGACAGCTGACGGTTGGGGTCCGGGAGTGAGGACATAGAGTGAAGTCGTCGTCCCCAGCACATTTTCCTCACCCTGAACAACCTGACGCGCTTGAATCCATCATGGTGCGCTAAAAGCCATGGTTTGGAAGGTTCAAAACGGACGGAATAACTCCGCTGTGGGGACCTCTTCTTACTGTGGTCTTTAAGTCACTCCCGCTCAGTTGATATCCGAGCTGCCCCCTCCTCCTACCTCTTAGTGTATAAAATCCTGGTCACTTATATGTTGGAGACCAGGGGGTGTGGTGACGCGCGTAGATGCGGGTTTTCGACCCGAGTCCTCTCTTGCTTCCGGGCTCCTTGGTCCTGTCATGGCGCAAGGCCCTCCTCCTCCGCCTCCTTCTCCTCCCCCTCCTCGTCCTCCTCCTCCCCCCTACTCCTCCCTCCTCCTCCTTCCTCGTCCACCGCCCCATCTCCTTCTCCTTCCTTCCACCCTTATTTCCCTCGACGACTTTCAGTCGTCATGTTCTATTTGTGGGCGTTGGTCGCCCCCTCCCCCCACCCATCCTTCTTGGCCCTATCATGACGCAACACCCTCCTTCTCCTCCTCCCCTTCCATCTCTTTCTCTCTTCTGGCCATGCCTCAACACCGTCAACAAACGCCCCAGCCTTGCAGGCTGTTACCCTCGCCAGGGTCCGCAACTCAGTAAATCATCCGTCCAGCAGTCTTTTCGCTTATCTGATCTGATGGTTGTGGCACCCACTACCCCCGTGCCTGCTGATGATGGAAGCAAGGCAGTCTACCAAACCTCACTTGAAGGCTTATTCGTTTTCTGAACTTGCCTGCTCTTTTTCTTTGGGGGATGTTGAACGCCACATGATATTTCAACCTCTAATGTCCATGCAGATGCTACTTAAACGCACGTAATGCCTATACGTAAGACTATTGTACGATGCGTACTGAAACATGAAAAAGTGACAGAAACACCCAAACATACTTTGACTTGTAAGCTAGGACATAGTTGAGGCAACAATACTGACTAGCGTGGGAGGTAAGCTCGGTTCTACTTTGCCCGCCACCTACGTAAATTACATTCGGTGGTGTTTAGGAAGCACCCCCCTATACCATTTGTTATTCGAGCTTCAAGTATCCTTAAACTTCATTTCCAACGCATGTGTGTTCCACGCTCCGTTTCCCTCTGAACCCTCCGAATGATAGCCAATTAAATGTTGAGACAGTATGATGTGGTTATGTGGACGCACCCGATGGACCCAGTACTATTGACCCACTTAATGATCTTGAGTTGGTGTGATTACGTTGGCGTGGTGTTGTTGTCCGTTGCGGTGTGTATTATGTTGGCGGTCTTGTTTCTTTGTTGCCGTGTCTACTTTTTGGCCCAATGCCAGTGGTCCTTCTTGACTCGGTCTGTCGTCTCCTTCTAACTTTCACGTTGCATGTTTCAGAGTTAGGTTTTAGGGCTGCAGCTAAGGGTTAGGGTTAAAGAATCAGGGTTGAGGTGTTGGCTAGGGCTTAGGATTAGGAGTTATGGTTTGGATTAGAGTTAGGGCCTAGGGTTGGTGCAAAGGGGTTAAACGCCAGGTTAAGGTGTTAGGGTTAGGGGTTGGGACAACTATTGCTCAATCACTCAAAGTGCAGCCGCGCAGTCCTGGTAGCTCTTCTTTTGCATACAGTTACTTGATCTCGTCGCCTGTGTGTTCCCCGGCCCCACCTGTAAAAACTACTATTACCACCGGTTCCCTATTACAGGTGGCTGGGGTTTGTTTACCTCAGGTGCGGCTACATAACCACATCTGGCCACTGAGATATTTGAACAAATCCAACTCAGGTATTTGCCCTGAGTCTCAGGGAGGATATTGGAGAAATGCGAACAGCGACTCCGTCGGTAATACCGGGAAGGATTATATATGACGGTGATTGTCCGGCCTGCATTCAATTAACAAGAACATTGACCTCCCGCCTGCATATTCTGCACTGTGATTTTGCCTTGCAAAATAATTAGCCATGTGGGAAGGCGGCGGGAGACCAACCTTTTCGGCGACAGCGAGCCAAACTATCGAGTAATCAAGACGCCAAGAGTCAACAACGGTAATGAAATCACGCCCATTAACGACTCGGGCACGAATTGGCAAGCAGTTATCACATCAAATACGCCACCCAGCGATGAATGCGAGTGTTGGCATGTGGCCACCGGGCAACTGCGCTCCTTGCGCCTTTACTGTCCTTTTCTGTGACTATCACTGATGATGGGTTCGAGGAAGAATCCGGGACGTCAGACCAGTAAATTCCTTGGTTCGACGAACGCATCTTCTCCTGAACTGTTTCCCAGAACTTCACTATTCCCTTTTGGTATCGCTGGCTCATTGAGTGTCTTGACATCAAGGACTCTCTGTCATTTTCTGTCCACATTGCATGCCATCGAGAGCTCACTGACGGCTGCGCACCCTTTTAACGAGGTTGTATGATTCACGCGTTTTGGCATCACGACCTAGGCCAGATGGAGTTTGCGTACGTCAGGCATGCGCTATCGTGCGGTCACGCAGGCAACACCCAATTCTCCGGACGTCAGACGACTAAAACACACCCCGCCCCTTCCGATTAATTCCTCCACCCTCTTAATGGAGCCAATTATTTCGTTCTAGACGAACTGACAAGACACCCAGTACGTCGTCGTTTTGTGCATAGGCGTGCGCTTTGACGCCATCTTTGGATGCCTAGGCCGTGTTATATGCAAATGTCTCTCCTCTGGAGGAGACAACAGGACGCTGGCGAAGTAAGATTACATCCAGAGAATATTGGCATGCTTCCTGGACCGACTGCAGAGGTGATAGAACGAACGTGTCCAAATGCGGCGTTTTTGGGATTGACATGGCTCCTCCAATCGAGTAGGGACTTTTACAACACACCCGTAACTCCCCTCACGATCATTCCCATAAGTAAATATTTAATGACCGTCGCTGGAAAACATGAAAGACTGTACGCTTGGAATCTGCATTCTACCTACCTGACGAGTTCTTGTGAGCGAAACTAACACTTGTGACCGAAAATGAACCCACTCCCAAGCCCGCACTCCGGGTTGTAAGTGACAAATTCGGACTGCAGTTTTACCATAGTGGCCTTCTTTAGTCGACAGTGTACAGTAGGTGAACTAACTCATGAACTGTCAGCCAAAATTCCGAAATGCGTTTTCGTTTCGAAAAGATTTATTAAGTAGGGTTATAGAACTAAGAATCATGCAGCATGCCTCCATAATAATCCAGTTACCTCAGGATGTCGGCTTTCGAAATAACTTCTTTCCAACCGCATACAAAAACTATACTCTCTAAAAAATTACCACATAATAAATATGAATTCTTAACATTGATTTTCGATGCCTCTAAAAATTCAATTATATTTCATGGAAAACATGCATAAAAAGTCATTCATTTGCACTTTCGGCAGAAAATTACGTCCTATTTCAATTTTATGGTCGAAAGTGGGGTATAATTGGACTTTAAGAAAGTTTCTAATTGTGAGATTTTTAATACCGTGAAATGGGCGCTCACAGAATGCCATGTCTCTGCATTTACCAATGTGGCTTGTAAAGTTAACAATATGGCTCAAATCCACTGTTAAATTTTATGAACCCCATATGGTCTCCTCTTAATACCGTGGAGAAATACAAGTTCTCCGTACGCGGAAAATATACGACCTGTAGGTTAGAAACCCTGAATGCAAGTGTAACGGTAGGTCGGATCCAAAACTATTCGGGAACTGGAAAAGTTTTTGAAAACAGAATCATACCCATCCTTCGAGTATAAAATTGACATAAGACGTAATTTTCTACCGAAAGGGCAAACGGATGAATTTTAAGGCATGTTTTCCGTGAAATGTAATTAAATTTTTAGAGGTATCGAAAGTAAATGTTAAGAATTCATATTAATTAAGAGGTAATTTTTTACAGAGTATAGCTCTTGCATGCGGTTGGAAAGGTCTTTCAAAAGCCGACATCCTGAGGTAACTGGAATATTATGGAAGCATGCTGCATGATTATTAGTTCTATAACCCTACATAATAAATCTTTTCGAAACGAAAACGCATTTCGGAATTTCAGCTGACAGTTCATGAGTTAGTCCACCTAATTTTCTGCCGACTAAGTAATCTTGCCATGGGTATTTCGACTTGGATGAGCAGATTAATATTAACTGGACTCCAGATTCACCGGTATGTTTAAGTAAGTTTGAACACCCCCCAAAATCGAGTACTGGAAGTACCTCAATCGTACATCAATTCAGCAACTCTGACAGTGATTAATCAACACCTCATGCTCGCGTGTATCTGACCCCTGCAATATTTGAATTGGGGATCTTTTCATGTATAGCGATATTTTATGGGAAATTTCCAGCCCAGGAATATTAGTAATGTCAGTGGATAGGGCATACTGCATCTGTAGATAGCATTTTTGTGTATTGCTGAAGGCACGCATGAGTACTTTTCAAACGTACTCAACTGATGCTGCTGCAACTGCTGCTGGATGCTAGCTGTTATCGAGCTCTTTCCTGCTCTAGTCAGTGATTGGTGAATTCACGTTTAATGGGTCGCCGTCTGCACGTATACGCCCCTCGAAGGCTACTTCGTTGCGCCATCGCAGGCCGAGGCATACACATGAGCGTGCTCGGCGCAGTTGCCTCAACGTGGATCGGGTGACGGAACCAGTACAGTCATAGTCACGCAATGACTGCGCGATGTCCTCTCGTTGGGGGGGAGGGGGTGGCAATTTGTGCGAAAACACGCCAGGCGTCGGGGCTTTCACTCTTGCATTCAGCTTGGGTTGGGATGCTGGCGAACAGCTCGTCGGTGGACTAACTTTCAAACTCCTCACTGGTGTTTTAATTTTCTGTTTCTGCTTCGTCTCTTAGCTTCGATGGCACTACCTTACTTCAAGAACTGCAAAAAGCGACACCATTGGCAATTTTAGCAATTAAAGAGTTTCTGTCCAAGGGCTAAGTGTGGGGGGGGACTTGGGAACATATGAAGTCAGAAAAAATTTAATGTGACACGGAATGGGACTGTCAAAACACCGCAGCCTCGCCGATTTTTGTATCTCAGCACTGTGGAAGTCCCGTATTTCATCTGCAGCCGGGAGTTGGGAGACGATGGATACGACCAATCAGCGTGGCCGTAAGGTATCTGCGATAAGGCATTCTTCGCGAGCTATGGGATCCTGCGTTGCACCCACGACTCTAAGAAATCTTTTCGGTTCATACTTTTTCCCTACATCTTGCAGTCCATCACACGAAGGTCTCTGCCTGTCCGACAATTTTGCTGCTTGCCTTTCAGGTCTCTCTCTCTCTCGATGTCTAGCCGCCCACCCCACGTACCTTGTGTTGCATTGAGTGCGTTGATTTTCGCCCGACGGTCAGCAGGGACGTATCTAGGGTTAAAGGTTGCTCTGAGCAGTTGGACAAATTCGACTGATTTCTCATTTACGCCTTATGTGTGGAAACAGCAAGCAGGATCTCGATGAGTCATTTTAGCTCTGACGTCCGGCGATCAACAAATAACGACAGAATCGTTAAAGTGTGCATTTTGGGTAGAAGTTAGTTCGTAATGACAGCTTTTTTCTGCCTTCCATCGCCATTGCCGCAGTAGGCTGTGGTTCAGGGACATGTTCTCAAGCAGTGTGGTCGTGGGAGATGAGGTAGTTATTCCTGAGATGCAGTATCCGGATGGTGTTTGAAATTCTGCAGGTCATGATTGCGTTACCTCCTTCTCTTCGTCGAAATAACAGTTAATAATGGTGTTCTCCTTTCGTCACACATTGCAGCTGCTATCGCCC